TGATTCACACACCATCAGATCGGCCAACACGCCAGCTTTAAAAGTATGAAGAGCTTTTTTCAAAATTATTTTTCCCTGCTGAGAAAGACGGCTTTTACTGAAAACCAAAGAGAAATAGAGAGGAGATATTTGGAAAACCAGGCCGCGTGTAAAAATTTTCAATAGGATTGTATTGATTTTCTTCCATGCTATGACAGCACAACATAGCCTCTTCAAAATGAAAGTCAAGCGAGATCTTGGTTTTCCGCGGCGGGGGTGTTGTGTCGGATTTCTTGCGAGTCCCAGGACTGGCACCCGGTGACTGTTGATAGCCTTGAAAATGGATGGACTATAGGTAATCGATCATGCTGAGTCTTGTGGCAATATTTGTTTCTAGAAAAAGTTCTAAAATCTATCGAAAAGCGAGTTTTACGAAAATTTGGGTTTTCAGGCTGTTTTCACCTATTAACAAATTCATTACTCACTCAATAAACATCAGAACGGGTTCAAGACTTCAGAATGTAGAGTATTTAAGAGATTGTATATCCTATTTATAGGAGATCTTAAAAGAGAGTTTACAAACCTTAAGGTCTTCCAAAAGGGTTTCTGGAACTGGGGATGACCTAGACAAGTTCTTTGTTGAACTTTTGTCATTACCCTGTCATTTTATTAACATCATGGACTAAAATAAAATTGATTGATTGATTGGAAAACCCATTAACGTAAATATGCTTTTTCGATTTTTTCGATCTTATAATCACGTTTAGCGCAGAAAATTGACCATATTCTGAAGTCTCGAACCCGTTCTGATGTTTATTGAGTGAGTAATGAATTTGTTAATAGGTGAAAACAGCCTGAAAACCCAAATTTTCGTAAAACTCGCTTTCCAGCAGATCCAACAGATCCATCTGCGCAGATCCAAAGGGATATTAAGGTCTTCCAAAGTTTTAAATAGTGCAGGATACCACATACGGTCGAATGCTGTAAGAAAATCGATGAAAATTGTCAATACCGGTCTGTTACAAGCAGCAACGGAAGACGAAGATCCTCAACGAGAGAAGGAATACGAGTTTGGAGTCGTCGATGTGCAGTAAATCCCGATTGTTCATCAATACTCACTCCATTATCAACACTCCACTTCTTCTTTCTGCCATGATTCTCTCAAAGCATTTACCTAGGTTAGGAAGCAGCGAAATCGATCTCAGTCTGTCCTTAGTTGAATAAACTCCATCCTTAGACAGACATATACCCTTTGCCTGTTTACTTCGCTCAAAGAATTCACCCATCTCTGCACACTTGTTAAAAAGAATGGTGACGATATTCATGTATTCTGACGGTAGATTTTTTAAAAGCAAAGCAGACGTCTGCACACTATCCAGCGATTTTTTTGGTTTTATTTTAGCCCACTGTTTTATAACATCTTCGATTTTTATTTTTTCAAAAGGAATATTCGGTGTATACGCTATTCGATCGTACGCCTCTAAACATAATAAATGATGTGTGTTATTTAAATCTGATTGCGGAAGCGAAAAATGATTTTCGTAGAAATTTGCTAAAATATCTCCTAGTCTCTCACTATCTCTTTCTATAACGTTGTTGATTTTTAATGCTCGGAAAGGCGCACTATATTTTTTAAATGAAGGATTTACTACTTTCTAAATGTTATTACCTTCTTTCATAAATCTAATTTTATTCTCTCTTATTTTGTATTCATAATTTACTTTCTCCTTTTTGTACACATCATCCCAAAAATAATATTCCTCATAGCGCATGAAATAAGTTTTTCTATATTTACTTTTGTATTTAGTTACTGTTCTCGCTAACAAAACTAAATATTTAGGCCAAGGAGGTCTATATTTTTTAACATTCTCATAAAAACTACATCGGTCATGAAGCGCAGAAAGAAAATCGCAAAACAAAACAAAGAAAGAATCGTTGTCGATGTTATAAACCAGGCAGTTAAAATATTGAAAAACGCATATTGAAAATTTTCCAGTTTGTTTTACGAAAAAATGTGTTTCTATTTGTAGAAAAAGGTGATGCAAAAAGAACTGGATAGTGATCAGACGTTCCTTCTTTCAAAACTTCTACCATCCATCCGGTGGGATCTTGCATAATTGCAAAATCAATTACTGCTTCAGATCTTTTTGATGTCGGTTCAAGTGGATGTACCATTTCGCATCCACTACTTATTAACTAATCCTTCAGCTGTGTTTCACTGGTATTACTGTACGCACAGTTCCATTGTACATGTTTAGCGTTAAAATCACCAAAAATTGTAAAATTTTCTCCCGTAATTTTTCAAACAGCTCAAATGGGGATTTTGTACGCTGGGGAACATAAACATCGCCTACAAGAACTTTCTCTGAAAGAGTTTCAATTTCTGACATGAAAAAATTTGTCGTTTTTTGAATTATCTTTCATTTTATGGCCTGATGAATTAGGAACGCCACTCCTCCAAAACTGTTATCTCCTTCGACACTTTCCATTTACATTTAAAAACCTTAAGCTGGAATCAGTATGACAATCGACGCACTAAAAATGATTTAACGCCACACGTTTCAATCAATGTTCAACTAACAAGTGTCAGTATTAATATTGTTAGAATGTTTTCCATGATAAAATTAGATATTAGTAAAATTAAGTATATATATGGAGATATGACAACAAACTTAAGAAATACATGCGAATTGTAAAATTAATAATGCGTGGCTCCAATTCATAGGTATGGACTTAGAAGCAAGATCATTATGACTGATTTTTCAAAAATCAAACTAAGTATATTTAATAAAATTGAAAAACATTTTTGTAAAATCATTTTATATAAACAGCGAGCTTTTGATACTTCATTGTATCATCATCAGGTTAATATGACTGTCGAATTTAGAAGAGAGATGGTTTTCAACTCGTACATATAATCATCTCTCTTCTAAATTCGACAGTCATATTAACCTGATGATGATACAGTGAAGTATCGAAAGCTCGCTTTTTTGTAAAATGTTTTTTAATGATATTAAATATACTTAGTTGTATTAAAAACGTAAAAAAGTCAAAGAATGTCAGTATCAAAAATCAAATTATTTTTCGACTAACTATCAACTTCAAAATTTTATAGCTTACGCAAGAATTAATTATTCTTAATGAAAATGATGATGTTGAGACTAAATTAAGTGTTGCTCATACATTCGGATGGTCAATGACACTATAACTCATTTATTCATGGGCTTTGTTTTCCACAGACTCTCCAAAGCTGAATTGCACATCGTTCGATAGAACGCATCGAGACACATACAAAACTGTTCTCTGATGAACTTCACCTCAACAAAAACATTAGAAAGTTTTCCAAAGATTCTTTTTCTCTGTGGTACTCTGGAATACGAGCTCCGCAGATTCATTTCACGACTTGGTCCAAAGCTAAATTGCACATTCTTCGATAGAACGTATTGAGACACATACAAAATGTTTCTCTGGTGAACTTTATCTCTGGAGAAACGTTGCAGAAGTTTGTAAACACCGGTTCTAATGCTGGTACTCCATAGGAAAATCTCGCTAGATTTATTTCTGGGTGGATTTCGTAACCATGAGAAGAAGCGAATCATTTGGTTTCAGTTTGACGCCTTACCTACATACAAGACGATTTATTGTATGTTTATTTTGTGAAAGATACTCGTATTAAAAAACGAAGCTCCGTGAAGCGTTCGAGAAAGATGAAACTTGTGTACCATTATGGTATTTAGAATGAAAATCGCACATATTCAGTGAAAAGCAAAGATAAAATAGGTTTTAGTAAGACAAACACGTTTAGAAGTAGAAAGTACGGATAATATGTACAAAATAGAGATGCATATATGCACCTATGTGGAATCATGTGTCTATCTTTCGTAGAAGAGTGAGGCAACTGTTAAACGTTTTTCATTACAGTTAATACTACTGTAGTAACAATACCAACACCTACGACTAGTAGAACTACTACTACAGCAGCAACAACAACAACATATACGACCAGTAGAACTACTATTACAGCAGGAACAACAACAATACCTACGACTAGCCGAATTAATACTATAGCAACAACAACGACGTTCATGTTGTTGACCACAGTACCAACTTGTTTAAATAACTCAATCGCAACAGGTAAGGCCGCGCAGTAGCCAAAAGAAAGCCTGAGATGTACCAGTTTGACGAGGCTTAGTCTTTTTGTACTATTTAGCTAATGCCACAACGGTTGTTGTGTCCCCTAGTGCACCTGTGATAGTTTGGTCAATGTCAAATCCATGTACAAATACAAATTTTACAAACTATTTTCAAGTAGCATTCAATTATACAGCTCGAGGTACGACTGAAACATTGACATTTGGTGTCATGAATGCACTAGCTCATACATCAATTGATGATGTATCTGTACGTGATCTGATCACATCAACTGAATTACTGTGCAACGGTGGATTTGAAAATGGCACTACATGTTCACCCTGTTGGACTGGATATTGTGCCGTTAATACAACGTATTGTCATAATGGCAATTATTGTATTTACAACGGTGCATCAACAATGACGTACATGTCACAAATATACACTACTAGCATTGGACGACCCATACTAATTAGTTTTTGGATACGTTGGACTGGCAGTGGGAGTGGAGTCACAACAATTGTTACAGTCCAGCCGTAAATTATGGTGTAGTGACATTCTCTTCTATAATTAATTTAATCCAGAATTTTCATCTTAATATTTCATTTGCATCATTAACCTCGTCATTTATCCTTTTCTTAATTATGTTTTTTCAATTACTCTCTTGTAAATATTTCTTACTTCAATAAATATAAGTAACGTTCATCTTCGATTCACTGATCCTTGACTGAAAATGCGTTTTTGACAATGAAATGGTTTTAAAATGGGCAGTTTTAGAGGAAAAGGGAAACACCAATTACTGGTTTTTTTTCTTCCCCAAGGGGATACTTTCATTCATTGTTATTGACGCAGTGCCAAGTAGCCCAAAGACTTCAAAAACGAAAAAAAGACACGAAGAAGTCAGTTCCTAGGTAATCGACTATGACGCATTCGTTGGGCGTATGCATAAGATCTCGAGAAGATCTGCAAATGGTCTCTAGGCGAACTTCAGAAAATCTCTTCGTTAAAAAGCAGTGTAAAAGTAAATTTCGATCAATCAGATTGCTTCTAAAGGTCGCTCATAGCCATTTTGATACTCACAATGATCGATTACCCCTGCCATATGACTTTAACCCATCCCGTTGAAGAATAAAAGTCGATCAATAGGATTGCTCCTAGAAATCGCTTAAAACCATTTTCTGGCTCGCCATGGGCTATTACCTACACTGTACCAATTTCATGACCGAGATTCTTGCACTTTCCCAGTTGTGGCATTTTTCTACTATGCGGACGCCAACTCCAAGGTTTATATCATATGACCCAAGACTTTCAGTCAAGGGAATAAAGTACTATGGGGAAAATGTGGATAAAACGAAAAAAAGACTAGTAGAAGTCAGTTCCGAGATAATCGACTATGGCAAGGCATGCGCCAGTTCCAGAGAACTGGTATTTGTCGAAACGGGAGCTGATCAGTACTGAAACTGGCTGGAACTGGTCAAATTCAAAAAGAAGTAAAAAATTAACTTTTCTTCTCACATTCGACTGTACGATCATTACGATCATTACGAAAAACATTTTAGAGTTTCAGATCTTGTAGGGATCGAGATATAGAATTTTTAAAATGCGTACTTCGACGAGTACATAAATTTGTTAGCGGACAGTGAATCTGACAGGTAAAGGCGTAAAAACAAAATATAGGCCTCGCTAGATACTTTCGAACAAAAAAGTTTCTTATGATTTCACTTCCGAAGAAGCTCCAAAATTCTGGTTGAGACTTCATCGCAGAGATTTCGTGCTTCATAAATACGTTATGACATATTTGTATAACGAAAATACCGACAATATTGATTTACAGTGAGAACCAAAGTTATTCATCCACCCCTATAGTGTGACATTGTTTGATCTATAGTTTCCGGATCGAAAATGCTAGAGAGGTCGAGTTTTCACCATTGTGTAGCCCATCATTCTAGTATATATGCTATTACTTTGAGCATTTTATTTTATTCACATCTTATTTTATAAAAAAAAATCAAAATATCTCTAATTTTATCACTTAAAACTCACTCGTCCAGCTTTGGAAAAAATTCATTTTCGAATCAAAATTGATATTAACGAATGATTTTTATGAGTCTGCCTTGAAACGAATATGCCGCAGTGAAAAAACTCGGTGGAGTCGTGAAAGCGACTTTTAGGACAAAAGATGCCGGTGGCTCGGTTCTCTTGAGATATTAAAGTAATGGTACTTTCTTCTAAATACTAAGTCATATTTTGGCATGAACTGAGTCGTGGGAATCGAGACACATCGAAATATGAGTTTTGGATGGTATTTATTCGAGCTTATTAAAGATTAGAAAAAGACGAAACATCAGTTCCCTCTTCCTCAATGTTTGTTAAAAACTGCAAATTCGAAAGCTATTTTGTATGAAAGATTCAAATTAACCTCATCAAACGATAGAGCACATCAAAATATATTAGAAAATATCGAATAGACAAAAGCAGAACTCATTTCTTTCGAACTATTAATTAATAATTCGTTAGCTATGCCGTTGTTCTAGCTCTTTTAACTCCACAGAAATGATGATAGAAATAATCCAACATAATTAAAATTTCAAACGATAAATCGTTGAATACCGCAACAAACCAGACGGATACAATTACAAATTATACTCAAAACTGTTGTGCGGTATGACTGCAGTATGTGATAGGCCGGTGGACCAAATAATCGTAGTCATAGAAATTTGTAGATCAAGCACTTTGTTGTCCTGACATTTCAAACCCTGAAAAATCAAAATTAGGTCAACACAGTACCTTGTCGGATAACTGTAAAATCAGATTTGACAGAACAATGGCAACATCAGTACTCTTTTAACTGAATTGAAATTCAGATGAAAATGCTTGTAATCCAGTGGATCAATTTTTAATCAAAATTTAATTATAAAGTCAAAGAACTGCATTTGAAAACTCACAATTAACGTGCCGATGATACAAAGTTTCAACACGTTTTTTTTCGTTCGATTCATACATGGTCTGATCGAACACATTGAGTTACCTGGAAAATATTTTGGACGTTCGAAAATTTTTTTTATGACGGTAAGTTTAAAAAATATTGAAAGTTTTATAATCTTAAAACAAATGCAAATGTTTTAGAAATTATCAACTTTTTTGTTTTTAACATTCTCTTTATTTTCCAAACCATTTCTTTTCTATATTGCAACGTTAAAAGAAAAATATTGGGAAAAAACTGTAATCACAAAACGTACGCATGACGATATTGTAATTGCGTTAAAAATGGAAATTTCTCAGCCAGATTCGTTTATTGGGTACGTTTAATGGGTTTCGCGTGCGTTTGTGAAAGTTTTTTTAAAACAGTGTATAGATTGTCAAATGCGTAAATTAGTAAAACACCCATTGTAAGCAAGCCAATTATTTCTTTAGGAGTAATGACACGATTACAGATAGACTTGATTGATCTGAAAAGTCGTCCGGATATTGTTTCTAAAGATCTCGTTTATTAATGGATTTTGCACTGCAAAGACCATTTTTCAAAATTTACAAAGGTATTTCCATTGAAAGCTAAATCAGCTGAGGAAGTTGTTATTCATTTACGGATGTTACTTTTTACGTCTGGTCTGTGTTGGTTGCTGCATCCCGGTAATGATAAGAAGTTTGTGAATAAACTTGTTGTCGATATTAAAAAAATCTTTTTCCAAATATGTTCATTGTTCATGGTCGTCCAAGAAATCCAGAATCCGTCGAACGAGCGGTTTTTTCCTAGGCAAATGGTTGCCGTCCACCGATTCAGTACATTGGTCGGAAGGTTTGATACCAGTAGTATATGGGATTAATACAAGGGTGCTGGAGGTACTAAATGTACTCCATATGAAGTCATGTTTGGTCAAAAACCACGTTCAAATTGTGTTTTCCAAGACAATATTCGAGTGTTGTTGAACATGACGATCTTCCAAACGAAATGGATGAGATGATTCAATATGCGGAAACTGGCGGTGATTAGAATACAGCGAGTGGTAGTAATTCTCTAGACCATGAAGTTGTTGCAGATACTGATCCATTGGAGTTTTCATTAAAATTGAATGATGATTGTTTGTTCGCGAATAATTCTACTTCGTCCAATGGCACCAGCTTGAATAATCCATCCGACGTTGTTGTATTAATCTAAATTCAATTCCTAACGATCTTAATATTGTTTCAAATACAACTGGTGTTGATCCAAATCAAGGCACAGATAACTCAGTTGTATTTGCAAGATCTTCTACATCAGTAGCAAGTCCAAAAATATGTCGCCATACAGAAGATCGGAAATTTGCTGCCGAGAATTATTTAAATAAGGTAAATAAAGGTAAAAAAACATACGATGATCATATGAAAACTTCGTCTGTTGTGTATCAAGTTGGAGATTGTGTTGGTGTGCGAATTGATAAAGTTGATAGAACCAATACAGATGCAAAAATCCTACCATGTATCATATTGTCTAAATTTATGAAAAATAATTCAAGTAGCTTCCAATTAGCTTGTGAATTCGGAAAAGTCAGTTCGTCATTTGATATTGAGAGTCTTATCGATTTGCGAACTGCAATCGCTCGATGAAACCTTGTTGGAAGAAAAAACTTTTCTTCGCGCTAGTAAATATTTATCTCGAGGCGCTGTTCTTATCGCTACTTGCGATTGTAAAACCAAATGTGCAACTAATCAGTGTCCACGTAAAAAAGCAAAAATTTCGCGTTCAACTAAATGCCATGTAAAAAATAACTATTGTTGTAATAATAAAGAGAATATATAAATCGTTTTGTTGTTATAAATGTATAAATTACTTTTGTGACTGAATTTCATTTTTGTATATATCTTTTTTGCGATACGCAGAGACTCTTTTTTCTGTAGATGGTTAGATCTCAAGTTTCCTTCAGTTACAAGGGAATTCCACTTTTGCCTAGGCAAATTCCAGGTTTACCTGGTCAGAACTGGAATTCCACTTTTGCCTGGGAACATTCCAGATTTGTCTAAGCATACATTACAAAGTAACGAAAGTATGTTTTAAGGTCGTGATTGCTTGGTTTTGTAGTTCATACTATCTACTATTTATGGTAAAATCCTCAAGGTTAAGTAATCTGTTGTTACTGAATTACAAGAGTTTAAAGTTGGCAAATTTTCAAGATATCTAGCAAAATGATTCTGATATTATTTTGGAAAAAAAATACTTAATCCCTGTGCATGTCGTTAAGTGTGACTAACAGAAACTCAATGTAAGTATTACACAAAATGGCTGTAATTGCTGTTTAAAGGTTTAAATAGTGTAGGAAAACGATTTCTATCAATTATGTACTTAATGGCAACACATCAAGTACAAAGTTATCTTTGACAGAGGAATATCTTATTATGTTACACAAGATGGATATTCAATTAAGATAACGTATGATTATTTAGATTCACGGCTTATTATTTAATCACACGCTCATGGGACGCTATATAACTGAGACATTTATTATTGGAATATTAACGAGAACCAATCTAAAAACGTTATAGTACAGTTATCATATGAAAACTACGAACTTTTGCCTGGTTCAGAGATACAGACTCATATATCTATCAGAAATTTTACAATTAAATTTATATTAACTTAGCATAAAGTTTGGAATATTCAGAAAAAAATAAAATTTTATTCATGTTTTTAAGAGCCATTTTTTGGCGCCACTTTTCATATGTATTTGCTCCGTACAAAATGAAAATCCGATATTTTAGCACTTTTATTCTGACATACTAATTTAGTTAAAATCAATCATTTATAATACCCAACTCAGCATATAAGAGCTAAAACCCTTTCTCATTTTTTTCTATTGCGTTGATTGGTTCGTGGAACGGTGCATTTTTGCTGTTTTTTTGCCTTTGGTTAATGTTCATTTTGCATTTGCTTTAGCACTAAATGCACGGCTTTCCTACTATTAATCACACCTTAATTGTTGAAACTTGTGTAGCTACTCTTAATGAATTCATTAAGATATAAAGGAGTTCAGCTAGTACTCTATGACAGCATTTTTAATGATTCGCGGTTCCACCAACAATTTCTACAATTTCTCGCCATAGTGACTGATACCATTTGGTTCGTTTCTCTAAGAAGAATCATATCGCTGGCTGTCCATTATTTTAGATATCAACCATTGGTTATTATTTGTATTACAGTTTATTTATGTGCTTTTGAGTAGCCTTTGCATATTTAGTTTTTGGGGAAGATTCCCGAAAACTTTTGAGATTGAAAGAATAATTGTTACTGATCTTAAGCCCAAAGTCAGATTGAACGAAGAAATAGAGTATATCTTTATATTCTGAGGTAGTCTGAATGGATTTTGACTGAGTTATTAATTTTTTAATTTTCGATGAAAGCACCCAAAATATGGATTTGGTTATTTCATCTAGTTCCTGCATTTTTTTTTCGAAACTAACATTGGCACGGGATCCAGCGTGATCAAAAACCTATGTTTCATTTATTTCTGAGGTTACTCGGCTTAACGAAAGAGTCAGGAAAATGCCTGTCATCCGTAAACCATGATAGCTAGACAGGTCGCATTGCTGAGATTGTTAGAAGACACTTTTGTATGGATTCGGAAATGAATGTCATAGGATTAAAATCGTTTTGTTTCACTGATAAAATTCATCCTTATAGTGCCATTTGTGATTTATCCACAGATTACGTGAATTCATATTGTATTTTATTATAAAACAATCCACATCTCATACAGAGTCAGATCATCGAAAACAATTGTTTTCTTTGATAGACTTAGCGAAAACGGAAGTTTATTATGCTAATACATAGAAACATTTTGCTCATCTAAAAGGACACACTTTTAAGCACATAAAGTAGTTTCTTTCTTTGTTCTAATCATACTGGCATACTTGAATCTCATGAGGATACCTTTCCAGATGTCAAACTCCGTTTTCAATGACCTTATGCCAGCTGGTAGTGGAAAGTGTCCTCGTTGAAACTCTAAAACGATTTGCCTCTATGGTATGGCACTTCTTTCAAGAGTGCATTTTTTTGATTCGCTGGAAAAACAGGTACAAAACCGCTAAAATTTTTGTAATCTGCAGCTGAATTAATTGACAACATGATCTTAATTGTTCTGACAATATTTCGGCATTTGCAGTTATATTCAAGTCTTAAAGACTTGACATGGTTAGATTAAGTCTGATGAGACCGTTCCGAATCTGTCGTTTGTTTTACTTCAAACGTATGACAACTAAAGGTTTCTAAAAGTGTTTCCATGCTAATTTTAGCGAAACAAAATCCGAAAACATTTCGATTTTCGGGAGAAAAGGTTTTTTGAAACTGAAAATTTTTCGTTAGTCTAGACCTCTGAAGAGTCTTCTTTCGAACTGCGCAAGAACGAAGTTTCTATGCCTTTCCGTTCCAGAGATATAGGCGTTTTATCAACACCTATCTTTTCATAAAACTGGATTATAGCAAAAGACTTGGGACATAAGTGGTCGACCTCACTGATCATCGCCGTGAGGTTAGTTTTCAACTCTGAGCCGAAAAAACGTAGCTGAAGCGTTTTTCACCAATCGAGTTTTCCAGCTACAGCACTGTGAAACTGAAATTACTCTGATGCATTCGATTATGCCCGGATATGAAACTAACCTCACCGCGATGCTCAGCGAGGTCGACCACTTATGTCCCAAGTCTTTTGCTATAATCCAGTTTTATGAAAAGATAGGTGTTGATAAAACGCCTATATCTCTGGAACGGAAAGGCATAGAAACTTCGTTCTTGCGCAGTTCG